CGGATAAGGGGATGCGGGAGGCTCTGCTGGGAGAGCTGAGACATGAAGTTAGGAACCCAGAGGAGCTGAAAGAGAGGATCCAGATGGGGGAAGTGGGGGAGGCGGTGAGAAGGCAAAACAGGAACAGGACACCGGGACTAGATGGAATCCCGGCGGAATTCTACATCACTTTTTGGGATTTGTTGAAGGAGGATATGCTGCAAATATGCAGGGAGACGCTGGAGTGCGGCCTGGTGCCAAAGACATGAGTGAGGGGCTCATCACACTAATGTATAAGGGGAAGGGGGACCGGAGAGATTTGGGAAACTGGAGGCCAATTACGCTTCTGAACTCAGATTATAAGATCATGGCAAAGATAGTCGCGACACGCTTGGGGAGGGTGGTGGGAGAGGTGGTCTAGCCCGACCAAACATGCGCGGTGCCGGGACGAAAGATCTCAGACTCACTGGTGCTACTGCAGGAGGCGATCGAGGTGGAGGGAGAGAGAGAGGGTGCCCCCTGGGGCTCCTAAGTCTGGACCTGGAAAAGGCATTCGATCGGCTCTCACACGAGTACGTCGTTGCAGTGCTAGACAAAATGGGAGTGCGGGGGCCCCTGGTGGAATGGGTGAGATGCATATACCAAGGACTCAGGACCAGGGTGATGGTGAACGGTGAACTCTCAGAGACGATCTTAGTGGAGTCGGGGGTAAGGCAAGGTTGCCCGATGTCCCCGGTGCTGTTCGTAATGGGCATGGAACCTCTCGCACAGGCGATACGGAATAGCTAGGGGATCAGGGGAGTGACAGTCCCAGGGGACAAGGAACAGAGGAAGGTAGTGCTGTACATGGACGACGTGGTCATCCTCTGCAGGGAAGTGGCATCGGTATGGGGGGCCGGGGAAGAGACGAGACGATTCGGATGGGCCTCTGGTTTGAAGGTAAACGCCAAGAAAAGTGTGCTGATGGTCTTTGGAGACTCGAGACTGTTCGAGGGGCGGCCATCAGAGCTGGAGATGAGGACAGAGGAGGTCAGGATATTAGGTATAGACTTCTGTCGAGAGAAGTCAGTGGAGAGGAACTGGGGAAGATAGGACAGGCGAGGGAGCAGCTGCGAAGGTGGGCAGGGAGGAAGCTGTCGATGGAAGGATCATGGTAGTGAGGACGGAGGTGATGCCGACCCTTAATTATCTAGCATATGTATACCCACCAGGCAAGAGGGAGATAAGGAGCCTGATGTCAGCATTATTTAGGTTCATCTGGGGGGGGGGGGATGGGTAGGGTAAAGAGGGTAGCGATGTGCAAACGTGTAGAGAACAGGGGGAGGGGGGCCCCAGATGTGGCGCAGGTCCTGCTCTCAACCTTTGTGTGCAACTCGCTGAGGCTGTTCTACTCCGAAGCACCCCGGGGGAAGGTAGCCTGCTACTTGAGGTACCGTCTGAAGTGGTTAATGAGGGGGCTCGGGATGTCCCAGCTGACGAGGGGCACGACTCTGGCCTGGCCACAGGATGGCTAAATACGGTGGTGGGGGATTACATAAAGGAGTATGGCTTGCACCAGGAAAGGGGCCCATGGACCCCCAAGAAAGTGATGGCAAAAGTGAATAAAGGGGAGGCCTGCGAGGAGGTGGCAGGGCTAAAAAGAGCAGTACACCGGCAAGTATGGAAGACCACCGCAAAGGCGCTCACAAAGGAGCAAAGAGACTTGTCATGGTTGCGGTGCGGGATAGGCTAGGGACAAGGAGCTTCATGTTCGCCCGCCAATTAGCAAACTCCCCCAAATGCCCGAGAGGTTGCGGCAAGGATGAGGATGCGGTACACGCAATGGTGAGGTGCCCCTTTGCACGGGAGGTATGGAGGAGGAACAGCCCGCTGCTGAACTAGTACTACCCGGCACAGGTGACTGAGCAGGACATTGTGGGGTGCCTTGAGGGGGGTGGGGGAGGGAGACAGAGACCGGGCGTGGGCCGTAATAGGTGCGACGAAGGAGGCTTTGTGGGGGCGCGCAGAAAGGAGCTGGACGGGTCCCCTGTGCTGCCTGTGGGGGTATGTCAATGGGCGAGGAGGTTGCTGGAAAGGGTGATGGAAGTGGACCGGGCAAGGTTGGGACACAGGGCCGCGGGCGTAAAGTGGAGGTGGCCCCTACCCGGGGTGGGGTAGGGAGGGCTCGTGGTATGGGGAAGGGACGGTGAGGGGTGGCCGTGTGTATTTAACTGGCCTACTGAGGTGTGCAGGCGAGGAACGCCCAGACACGGGGGGAGGGCGATGCAAGGAGCGTTGCGAGGTGAATGGTGGCGACGGTGGGGAAAGGGGCGCGGGGCGGTGGGCGTTGCGGTGGCTGGCCTTTGTCGTATAGTAGGTGGGGCGCCCGCGGATGGGACGAAGATCGAAAGGGGCCTGTCGAGACGCCCGGGATGGAATGTTACTCCAAGTATTGCTTTCCTTTGGAGATTTAAATCGCAATTACCAGCGAAAAGTCGTACTCAAAAATTGTAAATGTTGTGGTTTCACGCTTCAACACACCGGTGGGCTAAAGCAGTGAACTATGTCTTTTGTCAACGTGACACTTTTTTGCTGATTGGCCATGTCTGGTGGTGGAGGGTTACGACACATTTATAAATAACGCGATCTAACCCAAAAACGTTGATTATGAATACCTCTGGTATGCCGAACCAAGGTTGAATCATTGAAGCAACAAATAAAGATTCATATTTCCTGTACTGCATTTGATTCATAGACAGATCAAGTGGATCACTTGTTTATAAGCATTTAACGATTAACCTCCCTCCTCGCTGCGAGTCATGATTTTACTCAGTTTGATTACAGAATCAAACGTTTCTATCTATTTTAAATCTCATTCGTAAAGTCACTTGTGTTCTGCATCATACCATTACCCTTAAAGTATCATTTTAATACACTATAAATACGTGGCTCTTATATGCACGGCTAGTCTACTTAATAATCAATTAGTGAACTCATCATTATTGTTGTACTGGTAAGGTATGGAAATTCAACATATTTAAATTCAAATTTTAAAAGATTGCATCATCCGAGATGCACAAGAACACACTATTAACACTGCCCGACAGCAAACTGCAGGGACTCTTCTACTTACGAACGAGTTAGGTTCCCAATGTCTGTTCATAAGTGGATATGTTCGCAAGTCCAACTTTATGCCTGTCAATTCCAAACATGTTGTAAGGTATGTACACTAAACACGGGGAATGGCTTCAAAAGTTGTTTAATCTATTGTAGATGCCACTGGTTCATGTTCTGTAGATGTAGATGGCACCACCACCATCTATTGCGCGGTGGCTGAACTTACAACTCTCGTCCAAACAGGCAACTGGACAGGTTTGTTTGTCTCTCAAAGTTCGTAAATTGAACGTTCATAAGTAGAGGAGTCCCTGTACATTTACACACGGACATTTGATTTTGCCAGGCAGCAGTCCCGTGAAATCTGTTGGAAAAATAAGACCCTCGAGTCCCTGGTAACAGAGGCCCTGCCAAAACAGATGAAGCAAACCATACGTATCCTTAAGTTTCACCAGTTTGGTGCCCCCTTAAGACTGTATGTTTCTGCAGTTGACATCTGCTTGTCACAATGGATGTTGTACAATTCCCACTATTTTCACGTTGTCCAAAAATCTAGTTGCATCTCTGGAATTCTCACTTCACATCTATTGCTATTCGACTCAGATTCAAGGCAGTGATTTCCCTGCTGTTGGTTCTCTCCAATTCACGTTTTTGCCCAATCTCCAGGTCAGATCAAGCCCTCTCAATATTAACGAACTAAAATTTTGGTATAAAATATTATTCGTGCTTTTTTGGTGCACGGCTCATCCTTCGTTCTGGAGTTATAAATGTCATGATGAATAAACATTTTTAAATAAACCAATATACATTATGACACAGAATGTAATGACGCGTATACATACACACTTAATTATAAGAGGACCATCTGGTAAAGTGGCAATGTATCGGAACACTCAACTCGCAATTGGAAGGTGGCGAGTTCAAATCCGTCGGGGATTGCCAACTTAGCTCATCATCATCCCTCTCGCATGAATGAGTACAGCTACTTTGCGCGAAAGTCAACAGCAGTCGTCTTATCAAGGAAATGGCACTTGTCATGTAAATGTGGAATTTTCACCACTGCTCAGAGTATCCATCTGAGAATTTCACCGCATTATTATACTTTTAGGAGGGAGACACTGATTTTGTTTTCATTATAACCATTGTCCCTACCACACAGGACTTGTAAGGGGCAATAGTGAGGCATTGGTGACCAAGCTTTTTTCTCCATTAAACATTTTGCGAACTCTCCATGTCAAATTAGAGCCACTAAAACAACTTTAAATTAGTTTTATTAACTTTTTGGTGTATAACCCATCCTTGTACTACTTTCATAATTTTTGCATTTCAATGGCACTTCTATGCATCAACAACTCAAAGTGCCATAAATCAATATCATCTCAAACATTCGATGGGGACCTCTAGTTGCAGTTTTCCCTGTGCGGCACGAGGTGACTTTAATCACTGGCCTGCAAGTGAACATTTTAGTGCTATCGCAATTTTAGGGGGTTTTTTCTTCAAATTTGGACCATGACGATGGTACACAATGGCCTACTTTCTGAATTTCCACAAGATCTTTAACATCTACTATTAAGTATACACCATGTATTTAATCGTTAACACACCTGCAGCATTAACCAGGAAGATTTTCAGGATTCGAACTGAATATATATGAAAGAAGCGGCAAACCCACAACCGCTTGGCCATGTCAGTGCCCCATGGCCCACACAATAGCTTTGTAGTGCAAATGAAATCTGATTTGTTTTCTTTTCTTTTACAGCACACAAAACGCTTTGGTAATTCTCCTTCGGAATCTGTATGTGACACAGTTAAGTGTTAAACCACCATCTCCATGAAGAATTACCTGGTGACATGGGTGTAACCAACATGCTCATCCAGCCAGATGATTTAACGCTGATAAAAATACAGCAAGTCCACACTGGCTCATTCTAAACTTTTACCAAGAGCGGTTCCTGCCGCACCGGCTCGGCTTGCCGCACTTGTTCATCGGTGAGCGTGACTGGCTGCCGGTAGCGCAGCTCGTGGAGTTGTTCATTGCGCTGCGAGTGTAAGTCCTCATGCAAGACAATGCGCTGAGCGGGTGACAGCTGCTCAAACTCCCCATCGTTGATGTCATAGTCGTGTGCCTTCTTGTGAAGCATCCACCAACGCCCGCCAAAGCCGACATCCAGCACGCGCGACGGGAAATCCTCCCACCTGTGCCAAGGAACATAGCTCAACGGTTGCACAAAATATTTGGTAGAACACTTGAAAGAGGACGCAAAAATACTTTCAGTGGTTAGCGCACTGTTCTACAAACCCGATAACCGGAGTTCGCTTCCTGGCCATAGCTAAGAAGTGACAATTATTTAACCGGTTATGGGCCTCCCCTATGTTGATGTAGCCTTAAATACGTAGCAGATTCTATGTATATATGCCAGGTATAGTGCTGTCTAGACAATCCCTTGTATACTATACAGGGGATCTTTCTCCTTGTATGTGTGTACATACACGTTCGATCCCTTGTAAACATGGATGTTTTAGGATGGTAGGAGGAAGTACCGCAAGTCTGCAATCTCCTCGGAGAAGATGAATGCACGACTCCCACATGTCAATGCAACTTTAAGTTAGTTATAAATGTGAGGTCATAAAAACACCAGCGCTTAGAAATGTAAAGTTACCACAATGGACTGGTGCACTCTTGCAGGTGGCCTGGTGTCCAAGGAGCTAATGCTAGATCAGAGAACTCAGTCAGAATAACTGAGATCCTGAATTAAGATTCGAGCAGCCACCTGTCATTAAACCAGGTTCTAGTGGGCTGATGGTCTTAGCCGAGTCACCGATGATTGCTCAAAGCAACCAGCAACATAATTTTAACTTTTCATTTAAAATCTCTTTATTCCAGTACTAAGCAGTAAACCAATTGTGTGATATGCAACACCCTTTGCAGGACGTATCTAATACATGAATCTCGTGTAAATAATTGGATCTACTGCAGAGACATCAGAAGTATTCATATAATAACAAACTGGGCCAATCTCTGCATTGCTTCTTGCAATAATTTGGAACTGATATTTTTTTTATCTTGTAACATGTAGTGGTAACAGGAATAAAATTTGGGGAATTTATGTTTTACTTTAAATGATGTGGCCTGCCAGCATACCAGGCTACCAAGCAGTTAAGATAAATATGGAACGAGTTCATAGGTCGAGGCAGCAGTGACAAAGTGCAGCAGTAGAACCCACCTGGGCTTAAGATTCTTGCACTGTGCTGCATACAGCTGACACTCAGGCGCGAAGGGGCTTGAGTAAACCACGGAGCAGAATAAGAGGTTGCTGAAGCGCAGAGTGCCACCCTCACGGTGCTTTAGCAGGGCCTATGACGACATATAGCAGATAAAAACAAAACCTGTTCAACTTGGCTCGATCAAATGGAAACAACCTTGGAATTTGCATTCAAATATAAAGTACTTCCTGTTTAATAACTTAAAAATTAGAATAAATTGTTGAAAAAACCCTAAAATAAAGACTTTAAGACCTAAGCAGAATTGTGCCAACCCACACTCACCAGCACATTCGAGAATGGTTAATCCCCACAAAAGGGTAAAGCCACCTTTTTGAATGTAATAACCCTCACAATGTGCAGAGTGTGGAAAGGCCCTCATACAGGAGAGGCTGTACATGCAAGTATATTGTCCTGCATATCACCATTCTTTTTTTTATTACATATTTGATGTTACCATCTGTGAGGTCTGACATTGCACTGAGATAAAAATACGTTCCTTCGGAATGGGCAGGTAGGAACTTGGTTGGACAGCGCATTCGTGCACGACAGACAAATATGCACGACAGACAGACAAATAATCCCTGGTGGGCAGTGTGGAACCTGTTGTTCCTACTGTATAAATCTACCTAGTAAGTAACTGGGAATAGTAGCCATGTCAGCAATGAACTGAAGTTTTAAGCCTTGGGTTTGACATCTCAGTTTCAGCCATCTATTAGGTAATCCAAGTCTTTAGCGCAGCAGGCTGCTTTTCCTGACAGGTAATCAACAATTACATAAAAACACCCCATCATGTTACTTTGAGTTTAACTCATAATTGATTATATTCTACCTCTGAAGATGAGACATTTAGCCTGTTATGACAGATAAAGTGTACAGGGCATAAGTATGCGCTATCCAAAGTTGGGTGTAAAAAGCCCACACCGAACTTTAGAAGGGGACTGTTCCCAGCACCACAAGGGTGATGTAAACACATTCTCTAACTCACAAAATGATGTCGATGACAACATTGCTACTAAGAATATATCGCTGGGTAGTTATGTGGCTGGGTAGCTCAGAGGTCACATATCTGTCAAGAGTGCCGATCCACCAATGTCTTAAGGTGGCTTCACACACGATCACTTAAAGCGAGTAACTTCATGGTGATATCACAGTAGAACAAAGTTAACAAGAAAAGAAAACGGATTGGGACATTACTGACATGACATGTGAGGGCACATGCCTGGACATGGCAGTCTGTGGTAGGGTTGCGCTCCGACGAGGAGAGAAGCAGCAGCTCTCCGCTCGCCTCCAGTAGCGCCACCTGGAAAGAGTGCTCGTCCGGCGCCGTCCTCATAGAGACAACGGCGCCGGCCAGAACCGCTGCGTAGATCGCAGCGCGCACGGGCCGCTCCCAGGCGCCCACCACCACGTCCTTGCACGCGTCGGTGTAGTCGCTCAGCAGGCTCTTACACCACACACCTGGCGGGGAAGGGTGAACATATTTCGAATTTTGCTTTTATACATATTTAAGTCCCACCCATCACTTCATTTCTCAGGTTCTGACAACTTTGCTCAATTCAAGAAACATCAAATCATTTATACGCTTTTAATAGTGCTGTTTATTGCTTGCAGTTTTGGGTCTGTGCTCAGCAAGCCTTATTCGTTAAGTGTTTTTATTTTGTATGTATTTCTTTCCATAGGAATGTGGAATTGACATTACCGTGCTATGGGTGATGGAGATGAGTGCCACCACATTATTTATTGGCAGGGGACCTTTTATTGCTTAATAATTTGAGGTGTTTCGCAAAATTGGGACAGATTTTCTGAGGACTGATTTGAAAATGGAAGATAAAGTACACAGGACTTTCAAAACATACTATTAAGGTCAAAATAAACATGCAATTCGTCTCCTCCAGACATCTGTCCTGCAACATATTAAATAAAAGCATTTCTAACACGGCCCATCAGCCGCATGGTGCTCTGGGAGTGCATAATTTCAGCTGCATTGATTCAATACAAACTCTGGAACGGTTTCGACATTCAGCGTCTCATCTTAAGGAAGACACAATATCAAAGGTTCTCGGGGTTGGAGACAATAAGAGAGTTAAGTATTTGAAGAATATTCTTTGGTTCTTTCGGTGAAGTCACGTAGATAGAAAAATAATAAAAATAAAGTGAAGTAATTATAAATAAAAAATAATAAAATAAAAATAATAAAAATAAACACTAATGTAGACTGTAGCCTGGTTCTTAATCGAGTGAGTGTACTGTCAGTCTATAATGTAGACTGTAGCCTGGTTCTTAATCCGAGTGAGTGTAATGTAAGTCTATAATGTAGACTGTAGCCTGGTTCTTAATCCGAGTGAGTGTACTGTCAGTCTATAATGTAGACTGTAGCCTGGTTCTTAATCCGAGTGAGTGTAATGTAAGTCTATAATGTAGACTGTAGCCTGGTTCTTAATCGAGTGAGTGTACTGTCAGTCTATAATGTAGACTGTAGCCTGGTTCTTAATCCGAGTGAGTGTACTGTCAGTCTATAATGTAGACTGTAGCCTGGTTCTTAATCCGAGTGAGTGTAATGTAAGTCTATAATGTAGACTGTAGCCTGGTTAACCTCGGTGAGCGTACTGGCAGTCCATAATGTAGACTGTAGCAATGGTTATTAATCCGAGTGAGTGTATTGGCAGTCTATAATGTTGACTGTAGCCTGGTTCTTAACCTGATTTGAGCGTACCGCTCACGTTTACAAATACTGTAGATAAATGACATTGAACGAAATGGAGACAGGGTGCAAAAGGCGAACACAGAATGGAACTCTCGCTTGTGAAGCCAAAATAAACATTAATATATCTGTTGAATAAACGAGCGCCCGAGTGGGACGCTCACGTTGCCACACCGCACCAGGTGGCGATACGAGGCCGAGGAGACCTGAAGAGGCCCGTTCAGACGATCACCTGCCGCTGGGGACAACAGGAACCCGACATCGAACTCGGGTCGCGGGGTTCGTACAGCGACGAGCGCAACATCGGGCGGACGCAACCCCGGCGCTCCCTTACCGATCCTCGAGTTGAGCAGCCTCTGCCAGCGGGAGACCGAGGCGGCCGGGCCGATCCCGGCTCCCAGGCTCAGCGCACGCCTCACCACGCGCGCCGCCATCACTCGCGACCTCCTTCCCGCCCTCCCGCCCGCCCCACGGGCGTCGTGGCTGCACCGCCACCGCCACTCGACGCCGTGACGTTCGGCGGCCATCTTGGGTAGGTAACATGTCCACAGCAGTGGCCGCAGACCGTTGTTGGCTCGTGACGCCGTGAAACAAAGAGTCATTCTGTGCCTGTGTACATGCAATATCCCAGGTGGCGTGCCTTTGTCAAATCTCCGCCTACTCGCACGGTTACCCGGCCCGGATCGCGTTAATTCCGTGACGTCCACAGCGCTGTGGTAAAGACAGCGGCCATCTTAGCTGGGGTGGGTGATGAGCAGTGGGGCGGGGCTGACGTCAGAGCCAGGACAACTTCAGGGGGCGGGGCTCACGGTCCAGTGGGCGGGGCTAGCGACGAGGGGGCGGGGCTCACGGTCCAGTGGGCGGCGCTAGCGACGAGGGGGCGGGGCTCACTGTCCAGTGGGCGGGGCTAGCGACGAGGGGCGGGGCTCACGGTCCAGTGGGCGGGGCTAGCGACGAGGGGGCGGGGTTATGCAAATTCGGCGGGGCTCACAGAGGAAGGGGCTGGCACGCCACCATTACGCCTTTTTCACCGGCACATCCGAGCCGCGCCGGCGCTGGGCCTTCACGGTACGGGTGATTTTCCACTGGACTTTTGTTGTCTAGTCTAAACAGAAACAAACCATAAAAACGCCCACTTTACAAGACATCTGAATCTTACTCGGGGTCAAACAGGGCCCCGGGCGAGATTCATATATTTTTTTGTCATACTTCGGGACTGCAGTAAGCAAACAACACTGCGAGGAAGATGGACAACAACATGGCGTGCAATGAGTTGGAGGATAAGAAACAGCCTTGGGACGCCGAGGAAATCGAGGCTCTGGTTTCTCTCTGGGCAGACGAGAGTGTGCAGACGGAGCTGGAGTCATCGGTGAGGAATGAGAAAGTGTATGCCAGGATATCTGCCGACTTGAAAGAAATTGGCATCAACCGCAGTCTCAAGCAGTGCCGCGAAAAGGCGAAGAAATTGAAGCACGAATACAAGATGCTGAAGAGACACAACGAGCAGGGTGGAGCGGCGGATCAGAAGAAAAGCAAATATTACCACCTGTTCGACTCGTGCTTGGAAACAGACCGGCAAAGGTTGTGTCCGCTTCGTCAAATTCGACGCTCTTTCACTGGGAGTAGTGTTGGATTCCCCGCAAGAATCCGGTGAGATGTGTTGCGAGATAATAGGAAAATTAGATTTGTACTCGTGCAAGAAAGCAGTCACAATATCCACGATGTATTATTTTGTTTGTAACAGTACTTTATATGCAGTTCAAAGTACCGTGTGTTGAACTTCGCACCGCACGAAGCCAAACGTGCTAATCGGAGGTGTAACCGGTGAAAGCGCAGCCCTGCAATTGCTTGCCCATGACACTGCTGGTGGAAGGGCCTCCACTAGAGGGAGCTTTAGATAGCCCCTCTAATAGGGTATTTGGTCTACTCTTCTCTTCCACGTTAACTGGGGGTGGTTACTCATTTACACAGCTGGGGGGACAGGAGGGGGAATTTAAAAAAACACAACTTGGCCATCATTTTAACTGCCGCGCCGGGGAATCAAACCCGCCACCTCTGTAAAGCCGTACAGAGCGCTATTACATACCACGTTAGCATGCAGTTCAATCAGAATGGGCACAATTAGAAATACACCTTTGTGAGCGTATAAAGTTAGTTGGCCTCTTCTTAAAACTAAGAAATGTCACCAAAATATGACCAGACAAGAGACGTACGTAGACAACATCACGTACGCCACCGTCGCACATCAGCCCTGACCAATTGACCGCCCATGACCAGTGCACACGAGTCGACACTACCTCGGTTTCGAGCGATTTGGATCTGTGACGTGGAACTACAGTGAAGTTATAACATGTATGGAACGAAAATATAGTTCCAGACATACCCTCCAGATGTTGACATATCATGATACATATTTGTACTGAGGAAAATGGATTTGTCATTTCATAACTACTTGACGGCACTTTTGATTCATGACAAGATGTCATTCAGTTGTGTTTGGGGTATGGATACAATTTTTAAGTGAATATGTGTATTTATAAAAATGTCTTTATATTCCCTCACCTTGATGTCCTCTTATGCACTTTAGAGAATGCATCGTCTGTCAACAGCACTTCCTACGCACAACCTGGCCCCTCATCAGCAACACATGTGACCAGTCCCAGGACCACGCAGGGTAAGCGTCTACGTTGTGTATGCAAACAAGACATTTTAGATGCGATGCTGACTTGAGATTTGCATGATCGAGGTAAAAGTAAAAATGTTCATCCCTATAACTATTTAATTACGCCATTGCTGCCAGAAGGGCATCTGCTGGAGAGCTCCACAGGCTATTAGAGGGTACTATGTTTCTACCGACTCTTCTAACTCTTCCACGCTGGCCAGACGCGCCAGGAGGTCGTCTTGCCCATTGGTTCAACTGCTACGCCAGGTCGAATGAGTGACCATGGTATATTACACCGTGGCAAAGTATATTAAAAAGAGAAAACAGAAAAATGAAACTAAAAACTTTGGTATACGTTGTATTCTCCAGCATTGATAGTTATTTTGTTTGATAACGCATTGCTTCACCCCAACATGTTTGCACTTTTTTTTCAGGGAAAAAACGAAAAAGGACAGATGCGTCAAATTCTGTCTCAGAATTTGCAAAATGCATGCGAGATTCCGATGAAAGGTTCATGGATTTTCTGCGTCAAGAAATGCGGGCCGACCGAGAGATGAAAGAGAGGCAGATGAATTTAGACCGTGAACAAAGCAAACGGGAAGCAGAGGCATCAGCATCATTAAACAGAGATTTGGTGTCATTTCTTGGACAATTAGGGCAAGCACTATTGCCAAGGAACACAAGAGATTTTCCTTTGGATTAAAGACAGACGTTTGTTATGTCCAGAAATATGTTTGTCTCAATGTATATTGTTTTATGTAAAGTTACATTCTATTGTATATTGTATGATAAGTTGTTTTTGTCAATAAAACGTTTATTCATTTCAAAAACTATTAGTGTTTATTCATCGGTTTAAATCAATTAATTTCCTTAAATTAGTCATTTGAGTTTACATTGTGTCATGCAGGTTAATCCATATTACAATGATAACATACTGAAAAACATCCATAAACACGGAGTGCATTATTACAATGTGTACTGCCAACGAGACGTGATATAAACCATATCGAACAATCGAGAGCACAACTTGAGAGGATACAAGAGGCACAATACAAATGAAACCTCATTGGATACAAGAGGCACAATACAAATGAAACCCTCATTAGAAAATGGAAATACACGAGGTCAATACAAGATAAACATTCAAAACTATAATATTAATTGCGTGTATCTTAGTTTTTCAAGTAACCTTAAGAAACTCCAACGGTAGCAAAGGTCCTGCCATCCACTGCCTTCCCAGCAGGGTCAGCTACAAGTTCTGCTGACTGCCATCGTACACATCTCACTTGCAGAGGCGTAGCTAGGATATTTTGCGTTTAATGAAACATTGTATTTAAAGAAGCAAATTTATAGAAATTATATTACATGGCTCACTCAGTCACTGTCGTAGACTGGTTGACATAGTCTACAAAAGATACATATTTCTTGATTTCACTGTCGCAAACTGGTCAATCACGTAATCAAAATCAGTTATTTCCAATGTTTCTCTTTTAACGCTAAGAAGAGCAAGATCGCTGAGACGATCTTGTCTCATTGAAGCACGCACATACGACAAAATAAGTTTCAATTTGCTGAACGACCGCTCACAGCTTGCAATTGAAACTGCTATCGTTAATAAAATTTGCAGTGAAATTCGCAAATTCGGAAATATGTCGTCTCTATAAAACACAATAAAACCAAGAAGATCCAAAGGAGTTTCTGGTAGAACTTCATTCCGGTTACTGAGCAGCATTTTGCAATCTCCAATTTCTGTGAAAAGTTCGTGGCCATTGATGTCGGTGTCATAGAAATTTACAAAATCTGTACAATTTCGACGAATTGCATCGATATCTGTATCGGATATAAGAGTTTTGACGTACAGCAGAAATCCAAATTTTGTGTTCAGGTCTTTTAGTCGTAAAAACCGTGTTGACATCTGTTGAAGTCTATAAAATACGCTCTTCATAACGCGCCCAATTTATTCTTCTGCTGAAAGTCCTGCATCTCTTGCCAGTTCTCCTGGCATCTTCCGACGTCGCCTAATTCTTCTGTCCACATCGATCCCCCAGGCTGTGCATCTTATTTTGGCATTTTCTACAGCAACTTGGCTCAAATCATCACGAAGCTTGACAAATTCATGCTCCAAAGATTCAAGATCAGTTGCTGTTTCCTTAAAATTCATAGTAGGATCCTGTAAGCGCTTCTGAACACGATACATTTTTCCAAGAATGCCATTCCAGAAATGTAATAAAACTATAAAGTTAAAATTTAATACGCATGCCTGTAACTGTTCTGCATCACTTCTGGTTTCAGGCGTCATAGTTACGTCCTCCGATAATTTGTCTAGCAGCCCTACTAGTTCATCCAGTCCTTCATATATAGCTTTAACAGCTTCTGATCGTGCACTCCAGCGTGTTTCAGGCCGTCGTAGTTTCCGCCACCAAAAAAACAGGCCAGTGACTAAGGCTGAAAGACTGCGCCTGTCTGTTGTTTGGGACGTTCTTCCATGTAAGCTCTTAATAGGCGCGCGTACCAAAATGTAATTACATGACATGTAGGCTGTGTGTGGCGGCATATATAAACTTTTAGGTTGAGGTGTAGATTTGTGCAGTAGTTTCAGGCTGCCGCGCCCGCCGCAATAAGTTATAATGTCACGTTGTAAGCCTCATTTTGGCGCCCCTTTACCTTGGCGCCCCTTTACCTTGGCGCCCGGGACACGTGTACCCCCCCCCCCCCCTCCTAGCTACGCCTCTGCTCACTTGTCCACTGTATCCTGTCGTCCTTCGCTACAACTCAGGACGTCGTATCAGCAGAACAACTCACAACCTCCATCCATCTCCACTTCTCTACCAAGGACCAGGGTCCGTATTTGCTGGGCGTCGCTTC